GGTTTCCGACTAACATGGCCGGTCAAATAGAATAGCGAGTTAATACCATTCCCCTGCCCACTTTTGATTACTTATTGTTAATTTGGTCTCTAGAAACTGCAATGTAATTCAAAACTGGTTTTCAGGCAGATATGTGGGTTATACTGAAAGGGGGAGGTATCGGGGTTATATTGGAAGAGGTTAGCGTGGTAGTTATTTAAAACCCGCCTTGTAAATTTAGGTCAATCCACGGAATGTCACGGCCAATAACGCACATTGATGAACATAAAACATCAACTTTCATATCACACAAAGAAATACCACATTTCTCAATGAGAGTATGTTGGCGACCATACAACTTGTCTACAGCCTCTATCAACCTGCGTCCTTGGAAACCCCGTGCTGCCAGTTTGTCGGTCAGCAGTCGACATCTTTCACGGAAGTCATGACATTCGGATCTAATGTGACATATAAACACCAAATGAAGGGGAGAAGGAATGTCATATCAATAAAAGGAAAGTTTACGAAAGGTAAAATGGAATTGTCCCGCTTATAGTATAGCCCAGTTACATGTATAACCCGTCGATATCGGTCCATCCTCGATATCCAGGGGTTACGCTCACTTTCGCTCTCTGCACCCCTTCAATATGTCATAGCAAATTTGAAGGCACGAAGATAGCCGTTTGATTAGTCTCAGGGGAAAAATACGTTCCAATCGCTATGATTCTATTGATGAATATCAAAGGATCAAACTAGTCTTCTCGACTCATGAACAAGGTTGCGCATGCTGAGCCTTCAATTCTGCTCTGACAGTGAGCGTAGCCTCTGGAGTATCGAGGATGTTATCGGTCATGTTGTAGGTAAAGAAAGTTTCGCACATGTGCCCTGCATATTACTCAACAATGTAATAAAGTAACATAAATGTACTGTTACTGTTTTGTTATAAAGTAACATACTGTTATTGTTTTGTTATAAAGTAACATACTGATATTGTTTTGTTATAAAGTAACATACTGTTACTGTTTTGTTTTAAAGTAACATACTGTTATTGTTTTGTTATAAAGTAACATACTGTTATTGTCTTGTTATAAAGTAACATACTTTTATTGTTTGTTATAAAGTAACATACTGTTATTGTTTTGTTATAAAGTAACATACTTTTATTGTTTTGTTATAAAGTAACATACTGTTATTGTTTTGTTATAAAGTAACATACTGTTATTGTTTTGTTATAAAGTAACATACTGTTATTGTTTTGTTATAAAGTAACATACTGTTATTGTTTTGTTATAAAGTAACATACTGTTATTGTTTTGTTATAAAGTAACATACTGTTATTGTTTTGTTATAAAGTAACATACTGTTATTGTTTTGTTATAAAGTAACATACTGTTATTGTTTTGTTATAAAGTAACATACTGTTATTGTTTTGTTATAAAGTAACATACTGTTATTGTTTTGTTATAAAGTAACATACTGTTATTGTTTTGTTATAAAGTAACATACTGTTATTGTTTTGTTATAAAGTAACATACTTTTATTGTTTTGTTATAAAGTAACATACTGTTATTGTTTTGTTATAAAGTAACATACCTGTATTGCTACCTTCAGGTGTATAGGTTGTTTTACAGATAATTAAATAATGCATGTTTTATCTGTGATATCTACACGTGTTCTGTTGTACTTTATATTCTGTCCATATATCTGTTTAATGTATTCATTAACTAATTTATCATTTATCATTATTGATCATTTTAATATATTCATTCTTATTCAGACCTCTTTTAATGAGATGCGCATAAGTACAGTACCAAATCAAATATTTTCTTGCTCATATATTTTTTAAGTATAGTCCTACATTAGAATATTAAAGGCTGGCGAAACCACATTGCAAAATATAAATTACTTTAAACAGGTTTACTTGACTTGATCTATCTAATAAACGTTTTCTGAACTGAATTTGTAATTAACTAAATTATTTTACAGAACAATAAATTGCAGCCAGTTAATAAACTTGTTCTGGGAAATACATTGTAACGAACTAATAAAAGTTTTCTGAAAAACACAATGTATTTTACTAATAAACGTTTTCTGGACAAAATTGTAGCTAACTAATGAATAGTTTCTGGACAAAACAATGTATGTTACTAATAATCGTATTCTGGACATCATCATGTGTGTAACATATAAAAGTTTTTGGAAAAGACATTGTATGTTACTAATTAATGTAGTCTGGACAAAATTGTAGCTAACTAATAAAAGTTTTGAAGACAACACATTGTAGCTAACTAATAAACGTTTTGTAGACAACACATTGTAGCTTACTAATAGACGTTTTGTAGACAACACATTGTAGCTAACTAATAGACGTTTTGTAGACAACGCATTGTAGCTAGCTAATAGACGTTTTGTAGACAACACATTGTAGCTAACTAATAGACGTTTTGTAGACAACACATTGTAGCTAGCTAATAGACGTTTTGTAGACAACACATTCTAGCTAGCTAACTTCTAGCTATAGGAAAACACATTGTAGCTAACTTACACAAATATCTGGACAACTCTTTGACTCTAAGCATAATAAAACGTTACCTGCACAACTCTTTGGTGTTAACTCAGAAACACAAAAGGATACAAAACCACGGTTTTTCTTCCTTGTCCAAAACGTACAACTGGCTATATAACTCCCACTTGAAATGCCAGTAGTAAAACGACGTTTTGATCCGATCCCACTTTGCCATATTCTCCTTCTTCGGCTAATGTCTGTCCAGCGATATTAAGGTAACCAATGACCAACAGATCGATGTTGTACTCTCCAATGTTTGTTTGGGAGATGGTGTTCGTCTCCAGGTAATGGTAAGGCATTGATTTCGTATACGTGTGATGACACACCAGTACTGGCTCCCGAAACGTTCGACTTCGAACACTATACATTTAAATGGACAGCACACATAAATAAACAACTTAAAATACACCTATTGGTCTTACAAAGCGTCCGCTTCGACACTTGTCCGTTCTCATAACAGCAAGTACATACTAACGGATTTACTCGTAGCTGTTAAACAAATAGTTTTAAATGTACGATCTTTAAGTGGACGAACAAAATGACTTTCGCCGATGAAGAAACTGATTAGACCTTATTTATTTGTATTATAGTAGCACCATTAACATAAGGCTAAAACAAACGTTGACAGTTTTATATTTCATGAATGCGTGAAAACCTTCGGTATTGTTAGTACGGACAAGTTTAAACTAGTGAGTAACAGCATTGCATGTAATAACCAGTTCACGGAATGGTTCAACGTCAAACACTTCATAAAACAGGCTATCATATTCCGCCCACCCTGTTTTCAATCTATGTTAACGAAATGACATGTGCTATAAATTATTAAAAGTTCGCGGACGATATGGTTGTGCGAGCGGCTGACGAACTCCATTAACAATGGTACTTGTACACTGACAAGGCAGTATCGCGGTTGGACACGCGTATAGTTCGACAACAATGACCTGTCGAGTTGACCGTTGATTGCCATTCCAAGCGAGTCGATACTCATATAGGGAGTATAGGTAAATTACGGGTACGCAACAGTTTTAATAGAACTGAGGTATGCGTTTATGATGGACACAGTCGTAATGACTTAATGGTTGTGCTTGGTCAGTGAGAGATACGGGGAATCTTGGTAGATTCAATCCAAACTGTGCCTTTTATGAGCATGAGGATTTTTTCTCAATGTTTTTTATTAATTCTTTTCTGCTGTTTGCTTATATATATATATATTTATTTTTTTCCTACAGATATTCTGGGCTTACTTTTTGTATAATTTCTAACATTATGTCATTCTATTCAGTTATCGCCCTTCACCTTGGCTGGCTGTACCCGTCTCACTGTTACATGTATATGTGTGATCGTCGCTGTCATCACATACATTCATTGTGAATGCGTTAATTTCCCTGTCGATGATTGTCTTTCGTTCTGTGGTCGTATTCGAGTTTGACGTTTGCTATATACATATATTGAATATTTGAATAATTAGTATATCAATAATGATACCAACATTGTATGCCCATTTTTGTGGTTTTTACATCCAAAAACATTGCTTTTATTTCTGACATAATTTACATATTTGATTAGTTATGAACATACACGTATCTCTGATTTAATATCGCATTTAATCAATCGTTACGATGACAGGATAACTGAAAGTCGGGTTCATTGTGTGTTTACTGTGCACAATGCATCTGGCCAGTATGACTATTACATATTACACATGTATGACTGGACTAGGGTTTAATGGTGTGCCCGTTTCATAGTTTGACTAGGGTTTAATGGTGTGCCCGTATCATGGTTGGACTATGGTTTAATGGTGTGACCGTTTCATGGTTGTACTAGTGTTTAATGGTTTGACCTTATCATGGATGGACTAGGGTTTAATGTTGTGACCGTATCATGGTTGAAATAGGGTTTAATGGTGTGATCGTTTTATGGTTGTACTAGCGTTTAATGATGTGACCGCTTCATGGTAGAGTTCAATCTTGTGACCTCAAGGTTGGACTAGCGTTTAATGATGTGACCGCTTCATGGTAGGGTTTAATGTTGTGACCTCAAGGTTGGACTAGTGTTTATTGGTGTGACCGCATCATGGTTGGACTAGGGTTTAATGGTGTGACCGTTTCATGGTTGTACTAGCGTTTAATGGTTTGACTGTATCATGGTTGGACGAGGGTTTGATGATGTGACATCATCATGGTTCGACTATGGTTTAATGATGTGACCGTATCATGGTTCGACATAGAGCTGCGACAGTTTAATGACCATACAGCAACTGAATAAGCATTCTAATTCATTTTACTTCGCCAATGTATTTTCTGGTCGCATTCATCTAACACAGAACATTTTTTATATTATTGATATAAAGCTGACGAATTAGACACGCCATTTCACAACACACCATTCCTATTATGTGTATCTACGCTAAAATATAACTGTTCCCTTGAAACGGACTAGAAATATACAACTTAAATTCTGGTTCAGATATTTTTATTTAAAAAACTGACACCAGTACGTTAAATCATTCGCATACTAGTACACTTTGATTCATGGAACGCATTATTTACAAGCGTTTAGTAATACACCGCATTTTAAGGGGCGGTGAAAAGAACTTTGGTATATGTGACAGGTACATAGTGATAAACCCCTTTTATAGTAAGGAGGAATTATAAAGTTTGATAAACTGGTAGTCTGATGAACATTGAGTTTACAATACAGGATACATATATACATGATTTAAACAAGGTTTTTGCTATTGTATTTTGTAATTGTATATCGGTATAAAAACCGTGAGGAGATGAAAGTTTATTTCCGGTGTGAGAATATGTAAAGTTGAATGTTCATATTTCAATCGTCAAATTCGATTTTCCGTCATTTGTCCGTTTTATTTCTTTTTCTTCCTCATTTTCTGATTTCCTTTAGGAGACTGATGTGTTGGAGGTTTCCCTGCTGTAAATGGAGAAAACGTGGACGCATTCATTGAGGGTTTTCTCGCAGAAGCTGAACAGACATTTGGCAGATTTTTTGAAGGTTTACCTGTCGTTGTTGAACCGACCTTGCACATACGAGTAGGAGCCGTTGCCGCCAGTTTAGATATATTTTGTATCGATTTATTTTCCCCTGCTGTTGCTGAATACTCCTTTGACTGGTGTTTAGAAAGGTTTCTTGCAGACGATAAAGAGACTTTTACTAAGCTTTGTGTCAAAGTTTTTCCTGATGGCGCTGAAGAGGTCTTACACAGACGTTTCTGATGTTTCGCTATAGACATTGAAAAGATCTTAGATACATTTGGTTGTGACGTCGTTTGTGTTGGTGTCGAGATATCCTTGGGCAAATATTTCGAAGGTTTCCATGTAGAGCTTTTTGACATATGGTTAGAACTTTTTTCTGTTGGTACTGCATATGTTTTGGATACAGTTTGTTTTGGAGTTTTACTTGTCGGTGCTGTAGAGTCCTTGGATACATTTTTCGAGGGTTTCCCAGCATATGCTGAAGAGTCCTTGGATGCATATTTCGAGGGTTTCCCTGTCGTTGCTAAGGACATTTTGAACAAATCTTGTTTTAAAGATTTGCTTGTCGATGCTGAAGGAACATTGGGCATTTGATTCAAGGGATTTCCCGCAGATCCAGAATAGTTATTGGACTGGTGTTTCGAGGGGGTTCCTGCATATGATGAGGAGTCCTTGGATACATATTTCAAGGGTTTCCCTGTCGTAGCTAAAGAGTCTTTAGATACATATTTGGAAGGTTTCCCTGGCGTTGCTGAAGAGTCCTTGGATACATATTTGAAGGGCTTCCCTGTCGATGCTGAAGAGTCCTTGGATACATATTTGGAGGGATTCCCTGTCGATGCTGAAGAGTCCTTGGATACATATTTGAAGGGCTTCCCTGTCGATGCTGGAGAGTCCTTTGATACATGTTTCGATGATTTCCCTGTCGATGCTGAAGAGTCCTTGGATACATGTTTCGAGAGTGTCCCTGTATATGATGAGGAGTCCTTGGATACAGATTTCAAGGGCTTACCTGTCGATGCTGAAGAGTCCTCGGATACATATTTGGAGGGTTTCTCTGCTGTTGCTGGAGAGTCCTTTGATACATGTTTCGAGGGTCTCCCTGCTGTTGTTGAGGATATTTTGAACAAATCTTGTTTTAAAGATTTGCTTGTCGATGCTGAAGGAACATTGGGAATTTGATTCAGGGGACTTCCCGCAGATCCAAAAGAGTTCTTGGACAGGTGTTTCGACGATTTCCATGTAGATGCCGAGGAGACTTTTGGCACATGTTGTTTTGAAGTTTTTCCTGTCGCAAGTAAAAAAATCCTAATACAATGTTTTGAAGGTTTCCCTGTCGGCGCTAACGATTTTTTAGACATATTGTGTTTTGAAGCTTTGCTTGTGGGTGCTGAATAGTTTTTGCCCAAATGTTTTGAAGGTTTCCCTGTAGATGTTGGCGATATCTTGGACACATGTTTCGAGGGTTTCCCTGCCGTTGCTGAGGATACTTTTGACAAATTCTGTTTTGAAGATTTGCTTGTCGATACTGAAAGAACATTCGGAATTTGATTCAATGGATTTCCCGCAAATCCAGAAGAGTCCCTAGCCAGGTGTTTTAACGGTATACCTGTAGATGCCGATGATACTTTGGGCACATGTAGTTTTGAAGTTTTTCCTGACGCTAATAAAGAGTTTCTGATCAAATATTTTGAAGGTTTCCCTGCCGGCGCTAACGATTTCTTAGATATATGTTGTTTTGAAGCTTTGACTCTGGATGCTTTTGAGCTTTTGGTCCGACGTTTCGAAGGTTTTTCTGCCTGTTCTGAATTGGACACTATTGGATGCAGCTGAGTTTGTTGTGATTCACTGAAAGTAATAAATCAGATAATAGAACATGATTGCCGCCGTGTTTAAAATACGGAGGGATCATGTTAGGTAACATGAATACTTACCAAAAGGAATTAAATTTAAAAAAGAAATATATCACAGCGTTTACAAACATAGACAAATCTGGAACGTAACATTAATAAAAGACAACAACAGGAATTCAGAGTAGCATCAAAACGTTATTACTATATTTCATCATGCATACGTCAGCGCATACATTGTATATAAATCAAAGCGATTTATCAGGTATGATTTATATCCTGTCACTTCAACAAGAAGTCATTTTAGAAATAAAGGAAGTACATGTAAAAGGAAAACGATGCCGGACAGGTCAAGCACCTTTCATGTATGCTCTTATACGGGTAGTCGGCGCGGTTATCGGTCTAAGGGAGATAACTCTCCCCAAAATTGACCACAATACTTAACAGTTCATTTAAAAAAAATATAAGGGGTGCTCAAAATTTCCCGAGTTCACAAAAAGTTAACATACCATTTTGTTGGGCATCTAGATAAGTAGAAAATTAGAGTAGATAATCTGAGAAAACAATGCTATCCAGACGAAATTATATCTAACGTTATTTAATGAGCTAAGGAGAAGGGTCCGATTTCAGTTAACGACCAAAATAGTGCCAATACAAGTCAAAAGGATATTATACCGTTTGTTGGAACATTCTACCCTATCAATTTTATCATGTTTACAATTATGAAAGTTCACGATTTTTTTTTTAAAGAATAGCAAAAAAATGAAACCTGTCTTGGAGAGGAAGAAAATAATTAATTGCAAAAGACAACCAAGGAATCTGAAACGTTTATTATGCAATTCAAAATTTTATTGGAAAATTAATGTAATTACAGCGTGACAAAGTGTATGAAACCGAGATGTGGAACATGCAGTATGATTGTTGAATGTAACTCATTTTTTTTTTTTTAAATGGCAAAACATTTGAAATGAGATGTAATATGAATTGTAAATCAAGAAATGTAATTAATATATGCTGTAATTTGTAAGAGATGCTTTGAATTTTACATAGGTCAAACTGGAAATGAACTAACGTTATATCAAAGAATGGCAGTCCGTCGTCAACAAACCAAAACTAAAAGTTTACGAAATTCATTAGTTAACAAACATTTTCATCAGTGATCAAATGCTCAGTTTTTAGCTTTACCAATTTACCAAATGAACACATCAGATACTATTGCAACAGAGTAAAAAGAGAACATGTTAATTAAAATTTTACCGGGCTGGAACGCGGGAAATTTCGAGCACATCTTATAATTTTTTAATTTACAATTACGTATGTTTCATATGTTTGGATGAACTAAGTATTGTGCTTTGGAATTCATTTTTACTATAAGATATTTTTAACTTTTACTGTTGAACAATGGATTTATTTTTTCGGTTTCTTTTTCCATATATTTCATTGACGCATTTAGTGCAAGTACATTCATATAATCTTGTCAAGACCTCGCAATTTCTAGACGTCCGCATATTATGTGTACTTTATTTATGACGTCATTATTTTTGACGTCTTTTAAGAGTATGTATGTGTTCTCCATTTTAACGTCACAAATAAATTTAAATCGCCTGAATGGACCCATATTGTCTTTTTTTTTTTATATTAAACCATCACAAGAACTTTGAAATGTTTTTCTGATTATATATATATATGCAAACAAAAAGTGACCTAATAGTACATAAAAATTGACATTTAAAAGTGACACTTTACACAACACTGCAATGGTTTCAATACCGTTTACAAAATTGTGTTAAGTACAAATAGAAACTACAGAACATTTATTCTGGGAATGCCCACCGTCCTTAAAGCTATGGCAAGATTTGAAAGAGAAATAATACAGCAGAATAAGGAAAATCATTGATTTTAAGTTGGAAACAACTTACTTTTAGGAGTTACTGAAAATGTCCATTAACTATATAATTTTGTATACAAAATATATATATATATACTGTTTCCAGAAAAAAAACCAGTAGTTAAGTTTAAAAGGTTTGAATGAGTTTCTTGCATTCAGGGACCGATTGTTGACGTCATCATTATTGTAACGTCATAATTGTTTTAACGATTTTTATAGAAGATTAACTATGCCTATTCATATTGCCTTGGGCGGGTCAAGGTGAGGGCGTAATGGGCGTACGCCCCCCCCCCCCCCTCCCCCTCCAAAAAAAAGAAAAAACTATCGCAATCTGCTAATATTGTATTGAATACGGCAATTTATCATATTCATTAATTAAACACATACTCTGATTTCTTTTTATACTGATTCCCCAATCCGATTGGTGATCCGTAAAAAAAATCATATTCAATCATGTATTCCACATTAAAGCCTACAATATTTAGAACGAAAGACCTTTATACTTCAGTGTTTGTTTGTCTTGTATCATGTGTGTCGTTCAACGAAACCAGAACTTAATCTAAAATAGAGAGATATGTATCAGTCTGGCTACTTCATTATTTGATGCTAAATTGTTGAAATCCAGGAGCTTCTGAGCTTCCCCATGGACCCTCTACCAGGGCAACCGTAATTACGCCTCGCGTTCATAAAATCCTGGCCTAGGACTATTGAAATGTTAAGTAACGCCTTATACCCAAGAATTTGGAATTTCTCGTTATTGGTCTACTGCTGTAAAGATCCATCCAATCATTTTAATATACATGTACCATAGACAATTAATGGAGAGAATTCGGCAAAAAAATGTCAAACCCTGACACTTTAACTATAAAATATACATGCTCCAAGTCAGGAACCGTTGCATTAGTGCATTTCACAATTATTTTATGTTTTTTAGCAAAAAAAGGTCCAATTTTTTTTTTCGCCTCGCTCCGCTCACCGAAAGATTTGATTCTCTTTCAAATATCCTAGAAACGCACCTGTGACGAGAATACAACAGCTGTTTCCGGAGTGTTCCTCCTACGTCTCCCCCTATTATCTTCACAGTCCTTCCGCCATTTTTTGTCGTGAACTTGTTATGCTGAAATGTTTCTGATATTATCACTGGAATTACCGTACATTTTCCCAACTCTTCCACCTTTTTAAGTACCCACAGTCGCCGATTGTCGAAACTATACCAATGTTCTCCTATTTTACAAACTGTGATTTTCGGAAGCTGATGAATAGACGTTGTCAAGATTTCGTCTAATGTTTCGCCTAACGTTGTATTGTTGTGTTCAGACTTCTTTCCGAAAACATTGCTGACCGTGTCCTGCGTGTAGCGTATTTCACTCGGTTTTAGATTCATGATCTACGTCTGGCTCGGTCTAAATGACGACACTTACATCCATGATACTATCGTTCTCGACTGTGTTATGTAAGAATGATATGTGGCGATAAAGTAGATCACGATACTACGGCGTTTATGAAAAACTATCTGCCTGTTTCCTGAAAACACGTAATCTAAATATAGATACGAGACACCGTCTGTAGTATGTTTGTTAACAATGTGACGTTACTCTGATGGGATGGCCGATAGATACATTTTCATCATCGTAAAGATGAAATAAAGCCTGCTATAATAAGGCCTGCAAAGGGTATTTCCAATACAGGGATTCCCTTTAGGATTCACACAACTATAGCATCCACTCATCAAATGTTCCATAAACTTTGTATTTTCTATCTTATGTTTCATCGCTCAACTTGAAATTCAATCCAAAAAACTCCATTAAAAAATTGAAGATGTACAACAAATGTTCACTGGTTACATTTATATAATCACAAATAAAAAAAATCGTTATCACGCATTGCATCCCATGTGATCAGCTGATTGGTCTTGCCTCAAAACAACAGATGCTTACAATACAAGGTTCTATATCGTGAATAAGTTTTTTTACACTCATTCAATTAATAACTTAATGATACAGTCCATATTTGAAATATCCACAATTCTACCACGTCACCGATGTAACGACACTTTTCCATGAGCGGCCGTTTAAGGATAAAATACTTAAACTATTTAGTGCAAAAACTTTTGCACTTAAGTGCAGAAGATTTACACTTAAGTGTAATATTCTGGACATAATGGCCTTAAATCACACAATGGCAAAAAACATTTTCACTTAAGTGCCAATCTTTTGAAAAAATACACATAATGGAAATAAATCTTTTGCAATTAAGTGAAAAAAAACACATAATGGAAATAAATCTTTTGCACTTAAGTGAAAAAAGCACATAATGAAAAGAAACCTTTTGCACTTCAATGAAAAAAACTGATTAATGGAAATAAATCTTTTGCACTTAAGTGAAAAAAAACCAACACATTATGGAAATAAACTTTTGCACTTAAGTTGAAAGAACCCCTAATGGAAATAAATCTTTTGCACTTAAGTGAGAGAAAAAAAACTAATGGAAATAATCTTTTTTTCTTTAGGTTTAATTGGTCGATACGAACTTGATAGAACACTAGTACTAGTACTCAATTTTTACTGTTACATGACCGCGAGATTCTTTTGATGTATTTCAAAGGAACAAGGTGGCGCACGCTGAGCCTTCAATTTTGCTGTGACATATTCCAGGGTTGCAGAGAGCGTACGTGAACGTATCCCCTGGAGTAGCGAGGATGATTCCAGGGGTGCAGAGAGCGTAAGTGGGCGTAACCCCTGGAGTAGCGCGGATGATTTTGTGATTTTTAACTGTCGATATTAAAAATTATTATTGAAGTTAACCCATGCGTGCATGTATATTAACAATATTTTTATCTGGAACTGAATAAGATAGAAAGATAAAATTGGACAACATTGAACTATTGACTGTTTCATTATCCCGAATAATTGCATGTTTCTCCATGTACGAGCTGGTAGAAAGACGATTGTGAGATTTTGAGAAGGTTTTCTGGAGTGTCCAGTTCGACCACCTGACCCTTGTCCATTACTAACACTCGGTCACTATCCATTATAGTGTTGATACGGTGAGCAATAGTCAGCACCGTGCTGTCTACAAACTCTTGACGGATTGTTGCCTGTATCAACATGTCTGTCTCCAGGTCTACACTGGCCGTAGCTTCATCAATACACAACACCTACAACATAACATTATATTAAAACATGACAATCTCACATGTCTTAAACTAATTTTTGCACTTTAAACATACTGCAAAACATATGACTTAGTTCGCTTTGCGTGGTCATACCAATGTTTATGACACTATCTCAACATGGCCTCTTTTTATCCAGAACCAAACGGTTGGACCAGAGATTGCCCTGTATAACATAAGGTTGGACCAGAGATGGCCCTGTATAACATAAGGATGGACCAGAGATGTCCCTGTATAACATAAGGATGGACCAGAGATGGCCCTGTATAACATACGGATGGACCAGAGATGGCCCTGTATAAAATACGGTTGGACCAGAGAAGGCCCTGTATAAAATTAGGATGGACCAGAGATGGCCCTGTATAAAATACGGTTGGACCAGAGAAGGCCCTGTATAAAATTAGGATGGACCAGAGATGGCCCTGTATAAAATACGGTTGGACCAGAGAAGGCCCTGTATAAAATTAGGATGGACCAGAGATGGCCCTGTATAAAATAAGGTTGGACCAGAGATGGCCCTGTATAACATAAGGATGGACCAGAGATGGCCCTGTATAAAATAAGGATGAACCAGAGATGGCCCTGTATAAAATAAGGATGTACCAGAGATGGCCCTGTATAAAATAAGGATGGACCAGAGATGGCCCTGTATAACATACGGTTGGACCAGAGATGGCCCTGTATAAAATTAGGATGGACCAGAGATGGCCCTGTATAAAATAAGGATGGACAAGAGATGGCCCTGTATAACATACGGATGGACCAGAGATGGCCCATCCTTATTTTATACAGGGCCATCTCTCGTCCATTCTTATTTTATACAGGGCCACCTCTGGTCCATCCTTATTTTGTAGAGGGCCATCTCTGGTCCACCCTTATTTTATACAGGGCGATATCTGGTCCAACCTTATGTTATACAGGGTCATCTCTGGTCCAACCTTATGTTATACAGGGCCATGTCTGGTCCATCCTTATTTTGTAGAGGGCCATCTCTGGTCCATCCTAATTTTATACGGTTGGACCAGAGATGGCCCTGTATAAAATAAGGTTGGACCAGATATGGCCCTGTATAAAATAAGGTTGGACCAGAGATGGCCCTGTATAAAATAAGGATGGACCAGAGATGGCCCTGTATAAAATAAGGTTGGACCAGAGATGGCCCTGTATAAAATAAGGTTGGACCAGAGATGGCCCTGTATAAAATAAGGTTGGGCCAGAGATGGCCCTGTATAAAATAAGGATGGACCAGAGATGGCCCTGTATAAAATAAGGACCTAGTGGTCTGATGTTGCCTTTCTTTTGGGCCTTTACAAAGTCTTTCAAGGCCTGCATTAATATCTGCAGTTGATAGAGGCTTTAACCTCGGAAATGTTATACTATTAGCCTTCATCATATGTATAAATGTAGGACAGAAATGTCCCGCCCGAGGGTACAGAATTTGAAGCTAAACAGAGGCTTGCCAAAGTTTTTGAACCCATATTATATACCTAACGTTATAAAAAACCTAAAACAAATGAAACTGTTGCCCAATACCGGAGGCAGTTGACTGATGGATCAACATAATATCTTTTTATAATAGGTAAAGATTGTTTGTTATACACAGATACTATTGCTCAGCCAATTAGATCCATTAGAAACAAACGGAATCGGTCAAGTCATATTTGGATGACGTCCACATTTGACAATCCATGAAATGGTGTCCACAACCGTGCGAAGATATTTTCTGTTTTCAGGGTACATCTGTATGCAGGAAGTGTACGTGCAACTCTAAATCAGTTAGAAAACAATTAACACCTTATTTAACACAGCATGTTAGACGAAGGGAGTTTTAGTCAGCGGGGTCGCTGTGGCCAAGTGCTTAAGGCATCTGACATTCAGCTATCACCACTGGGTCGCGGGTTCGAGCTAGGCCTACGTGGGGCAGTCACCAGGTACTGGCCGTAGGTCGGAGGTTTTTCTCAGGGAACTCCACCACCAAAACATGGCACGTCCTAAAATTACCATAGCTGTTAATAAGACGTAAAACACAAACAAACCAAACCAAAGTTTTAGTCAGAAACGTTTTCTCGGCCCCAGGAAATAATGTCTGACCTCTGCCTCGGTATGGAGTTCCCTGACCAGACACCTATGTTACCTCTGATCCGCAGAAAAATGTCTTACCTTGGCTTTACTCAGGAGTGCCCTGGCCAGACACCTAAGCTACCTCTGTTCAGCAGAAAATGTCTTACCTTGGCCTTAGTCAGGAGTGACCTTACCAGACACCTGTGCTACCTCTGTTCCGCAGAAAAAACGTCTTACCTTGGCCTTAGTCAGGAGTGCCCTGACCAGACACCTGAGCTACCTCTGTTACGCAGAAAAAATGTCTTACCTTGGCCTTAGTCAGGTGTGCCCTGGCCAGACACATAAGCTACCTCTGTTTCGCAGAAAGATGTCTTACCTTGGCCTTAGTCAGGAGTGCCATGACCAGACAGCTGTGCTACCTCTGTTCCGCAGAAAAAATGTCTTCCCTTTGCCTTAGTCAGGTGTGCCCTGGCCAGACACATACACTACCTCTGTTCCGCAGAAAGATGTCTAACCTTGGCCTTAGTCAGGAGTGCCATGACCAGACAGCTGTGCTACCTCTATTCCACAGAAAAA